CATGCCCTAAATGTAAGCTATTTATTGATGATGTTAAGTGATGTGGTCAGTTCAAGTCACATGTCAATCTCTAGGCAGATGAGTATGTGTGTGTGTGTATGTTTATGTGTCGTTGTGTCGTGGATTTGATGACCAACATTACCCCATTTATGTATTTATGCATATTCTACTGAAAAGTTAAATAAACATAAAACTGTTTTATTTAACTTTTTGTCGTCAGACGTACGACACTTTTTAGATCATTCCAACTCATGTCCATCTTATGTCGTGTGCTCTACAGTCAGTTTTGTGCTCAGCACCGTTCGTCGAATGGGATCACATGAACAGGTCATTGGGGCAAAGAAATATGCATCAAATGGCTAGTTGGCACATTTCTAATTGAACACTTTGACAGCCGTTGCTTACCGACATTTCTTCTTTGGTCCGTGACTTGTTGGCTTCATCGGCCAAGTTCTCCAACATCTCAACTTGGCCAATTCGTGCATTCTGCACATTCATACAATCCGATTCTTTTGCCTCTGATCTGGTCTCAAACAAGCCTGTCAGCTCGCCAATTTCACCATTATTCATTCGGCCACTTTTGCCAATCTCCTCCGAAGCGTCGAGGGTTTTTGTTTCTGTATTGCCTGAAGACGCATTGCTCCAAAGTCCCATCAAACGAGAACTGGGCAGTCCGAGTCCGGCCGGTCGGTTTGCCGCAAAGAATGGAAACGCGGTGGCCCCTTCGGTTGCCGGGTCTGCCAGCGGCATCGGCACCGTCAGTCTGGGAGGCTGGAGAGCCTGTAACGAGGCTGGATTGAGGCCGAATATGGCGGCTGTTGCCACGGCCTGATAGTACTCGGTGAGTTGATTCACATTCACACTCCCACCGGCCACCTCCCCCCTCGGCATGGGTTGCGTCGACGTGGGATTTGTCAGTCCCGAGTAGAAGATCTCCAACAGGTTGGAAACTTCGCGGTCTCCGTTGCCTCGTGACGTGTAGGCAAGCGGAGGCATCGGCTCTTCACAATACGGCCGCGGTGGAGATGGAGACGAGGAGGACGAGGAGGAAGTTGTCGTGGTCACATTCTGTACAAATGGCCGACCAGCCGCATGTGGCAGAGCCATGTCGACCGGCGGACAAGCGTCGGCGACGCAGTCTTTTGCGGCGGTGAGCACCAGATCCAACGGTTTGTTGGACACGTCTGCTGTATCCATGCTTTCTAGAGGCCGGTGTCGAGTCTTTGTCGCTCGGTTACTATCCTCGCATTCGTGTTTCTCCACCATCACCACCTCCTCTTCCTCCTCCTCCTCCTTTTTGTCGTCTTCGGCGAGAAAAGAGGCTCGAATCAGCCGCAACAACTTGGGCTGTAGCGACGAGATGGCATCGTCGATATGCCTGCTGGCCTCGTCCGTCAGCAGCTGACGTCGTTTTCGACGGTTCGGCTCAGCAACACAGTCGCCCCGGGCGACAGGGCAGCTCTTCTCGCATGAATTGACAGAGTCCACATAAATTCTATCCAAGGCACTACGACACGCCTCCATTGTCCGTTGGCTCAACTCCCGCACAAGTCGAGCACACTTCTCTTCATCCACGGCTCGTTCCAGAGCTCGAGAGTTCCGATGTTGGTCGGAAGAGTGCAGAAACGTGAAGAAGGATCGTTTCGGAGAGATGCAACAATCTGTGCAGGAAAGGTCGAATTGGCTCGGACTTTCTTGACCTCTTTTTGCTTCACTCCTCTCGCCGGCTTGGCAATCTTCCAGAGCTGGAGGGTCTTTTTCCGTTTCTCCCTGCTCCCATGCAGATTCATCTTCATCAATGTCATCATTGTCGTCGTTGTCCACATTGGCCGATTCGTCTTCTTCTCTCTTCGGCAAAGGGGTGTATTGCTTTCTGCGTTGCTTGTGTCTCAGTTCGTCCGATCTACACGTTTCTTGGCTCCCGTTGGAGCCTTCGCATCGTCCATTTGTACTTTCTTCCGTTTTGCCACTTCCCTCGAAGTTGGCTTCCGTCTCCTGTTTGGTCAGCTCAATGTGGATTGCCGTTTTCGTTTGGCCATTTGTACATTTCTCCTCCTTTACGGCACTCGAAGGTGTACAAATGGTCTTGTCTTC